GGACGAGGAACTATAGGACGAACCGTTGGGTTTTGTGAATCTGTTAAATTATTTGGACTATTGTTGGACATATCGTTTTGTGATGTAGAATTCTCTCGATTGATGTTTGATACTGATACTGGAGTCTCTGAATCAATGGAGCTAGAAGCAGACATATTATTGTTAATAGATATATTATGCATTGCTAAATTATTATGTGATAATGGTATGAGTGTTTCTGATTCCAAATTGGTGGGAGATGCCACATGAGGTTCATCATTATTATCTATGGATCCATTAGAAACAACCTGAGATATGCTTTCTTTTGATAAGTTTTCTTTTGTAGGTGAATTTAATCTATTGCTAACTTCTTGAATATTTCTTTCTACAATTGAGATCACAGAATTCGTTCCATTTGACCTAGCTAGAGCAATAGTTGATGTGCTCTCTCTACGACTTGAGGATACCGAAGAAATGCTATCCCTAATTCCATTAGCTGTAATTGTACTAGAACTTTCTCTGGTATGATTAGATCGATTAGAACGCGAAGATTGCACTGAATCACGACTTCCTGAACGTCTAACAAATTTATTGTTTGGACCTTTGAAAATTGTTTCATAATGAACTATAAGATCTTTAACCAATCGCTGAGGATGCTTATCATGAAGAAATACAGATGTTTCAGTCTGTGGTCTCAATAAGATTAAACCGAAAGTCTGTGATAAGGCTGTAATATATTTATCATCTGCATTTGTTGATTTTACTAGACTAATCAAATTGAAGGTATAAAATGTTCATAAATAGTGAAACAAAATAAGAAACAACAAATTAAGAGCTCACGTACCGATGTAAATATGAGATTAATGTATCCAAAGTTGCATAATTTACATCAGGAAGAGATGTAATTAGTAAATTTGCGACAGATGTTATTCGTGTACTCTCATTTTGATCATCAGAACCTTGTTGAATATTTAGCATTTAATAATACATATGATAATTGATTGAAAATCAGAAGATGTTGTAAAAAGCTACTCACTAATAGAATATAATAGCCTAACGGGCTCATATAATTCAAAAGTAAGTAAACACTCTGGTAATTCCTTAAAATATAACATAAGTACTCCAGCAACAGTCGTCATGTCGTACTCCCTCAATTTTCTCATATTAATTTTCCCACCTAAATTAGTAAAGAAATTCGTGAATAGATAAAAGTACAGTAAACTAATACTTGATCAAAGTTACACACATACCATCATTAATTGCTTCACGAAGTTCATGGATTACGGCCAAAGATATATTTGTTATCCATATGAGCCTTTTGTCTACATGACAACATTAAATATCGAATTAAACATCTATGACTAAACTGGCAATAATAAGTCCAGTATAAAAATTACCTGATTCACTCCAACAAGATGTTCCTATGTGAACAAAGTAAAACAAATATTATAAATACTAAACTGCATAAAAACTTCATCAAATTAAAAATAAATACCTTTAGCGATGCAACTAAGAATCTTTGTCACAATTTGTGGCACAGACTTCAAATCTTTTTTGGCTCTCTCATCAAGAAGCACTCCAAAAGTTTGATCTTTGATATCGGATTTATTAATTTAAAATGAAAATCAGCGTTAAAATTAAAAAGGATGCTTATTTCAAATTTTGTAATTGA